CAAAATAGTCGAGCAAATGGCAAAATTAGTACTCTTAACAAATAATAATAATAATATTTTTTAAATTATTTTGCTATCTACACGTAATAATCGAAAAATTTCACTGCGACAACATAAAATTTGCTGCGTCAGCAAGTGAGCACTTCTCCGCGCGCCGCTCGAATTTTCGCGACGGAGCCGCCCCTCCTTCCGAGGGCGAAAGGAAAATTCGAGAGCTATTTCTCAAAACGAGGCACTTGCCTTTTCGTGCAGGCGGGAAAGGTGAGCACGCCTGCGTGCGGAATTCCCGAGCACGCGCCGGCCACTTCCGTTTTCGTTTCCGACGGAAAACCAGAAACAGGCTGCACACGGCGGCTCCGCGAGCCGGCAAGTACCCATTCCTGGCGTTATTGATCCGACCCGGTGAGCGTGTTCGACTCCGTCGTTCACGTGAACGCGGATGCACACATGGATGCGTCATATAATACGGGCTAAGTTGACGCGCTTAATGAGTGACGAGGGAGCATACCCACCGTAAAAGAGAACCCGTCGACGGAATGACCAAACCGTTCTGGATTTAGCAGAAGCAGCGCAACTTCGGCAGCAGCTTTTAATTAAAAGAGCGATCGCGAATACGATACGGAGGTAGCAGCACAAGATAACCTTCCCATTAGCACCGAAGTTGAGGAAAATGGGATTCTATCAAAGGTGGAAGGTTGCGTGCTGAGCGCGTAATTAGTCGTGTCGGATTGATCGACGACACATCGGCAGTGTCGATACATAAGTTAACGGCCGGTGCGGCGAATATTAAATTAATGAAAGCGGAAACTTCGCGTTGAATCATTTGCATGTTCTCACTAGACTAATTCCCCCAAAACTATTAATATTAGATATATCGCAGCCAATTATTGACTTATCGTATTATTATCAGAGCATTATTATCGAGATCGATAAATTAGTAAGGTATAATTCAAGGAATATGACTAACGTTGCGCGCGACGTTACGAATGCAGAGAGAGGAGGGCAGTCCCATGAGAATCCCCCGCGCTCACTAGAAAGGTTTGTTACGTGCGTTTGAGATATGAGACAGATTAGTCTGGTTAATTCCGGGGAATGTCATCAGACACGGAACAATTCATTTGTTAACGGCACGTCGTTATTTTTCCTACCCTCTTCCGAGGGAGGACGTGTCGCGCGCGCGCGCGCGCGAGACATGCACGCGCTAATTTTGATTTTTTGTCGATTACACGCGATCGATAACGGGCTCACGCAATGCACGTAATTCTGAGGGACCTACATTCAGGTCATCGAATCGCAAGTAACACGATGCAATTTTCAGCCGAGGCTTCCTGGTGCGGCGACGAAAAAAGAGGTGTGCGCGTCACTCTCCGTAAATTCACTTTCGGTAACATTCGCGACGTCACCATCGCTGCTCTAATTGCCGTTAACGGTGTGAGAAAAAGTGTTCTTCGTTATCGCGCTTCGTTATTACGTCAACTGATGCGTATCGGATGTTTTATAAATAGAACTCAAGATCATGCCGCGAGATCAATGTTGCGAAGGTATAAGGGAGCGTAATTTGGATTAACAAGCTACATTTAATTTAAAAAATATGATGACACGAAGACACGCAGACGCGCTACGTAATAAACCGCGTGCTGCGTACTGCCTCGAGCCCGCTATCTGCTGAGTCACACGCATGGAGTTGGTTTAATTAAATTTGCTTCTTTCGCGATAGGCTACGCAGTGTCTCGTAATGAAGGGCGACGTTATCGGATTCGGCTCTTAAATATAGAGTTTGGACGAACTTGGCTTTTGAATCCAAAATGGCGTCGATAGTTTTCACTTATTTCTAGTGACTCTAGTTACTACTATAAGATAAGCTGTAGCGGGTACGCGGGAAAAAATTCGTTTTAAATCAATAATAAACGTTCTCATGCATAAAAGTATTATAATCTTCTTAGAAGATTTTTAATCATGATTTGATTAAATCGATGCAAATATTACTTGCACTCAATTCAAGGCTAAAAATCTTCTAAGAATATTATAATATTCTTGCTTATACGTGAAAATGTCTACCATTTATTATACATTTATTTCTTATATGTATCTGCTACAAACATATAAGGATATACATTATAATTCAAATTTATAGAATTAAACTAAATAAGGAAAAACGGATGTACAGACGCTGCGAAGTATAAGAATGACATTGTAACCGATTCTTGGATCTATTAATGTTTCAAATTTTATCACTTTGTGAGAAAATATGACCGGCTAGTTGGTTAGTTCTCTCCGCGCGTACAACAGTGGTACTCAAAGTGTAACAGCATCGATTGTTTCCGCCATCTTGTTTCAAAATAGTCCGGAGCCAATGAAAAAATCCATCATGATCGTCCAGACTCTGTAATTCGGCGTTATCACATTTCGGCCGTGCCAAGGCGAAATGGCGGCGGTCGTTTCCGCGAAATTAAAATTCATCGGGTATATTAGCGGAATTTGCGATACAACACTATCTTGTCAGAATAAAAAAGCAGATCGGAGGGTAACGACAGATAACGGGCGGAGACGGCAGGTATGGTTTATCGCGAGCAACGTCGGCTTATCGGCCAGCAACATCTTCGAATCACCTGCGCCACGGCGACGTGCAATTGTCATGTTTATCGATATAGTGCAGCAACATTTCCTGGATGTTAACCCATTTGCCCCCGGCCGCTTGAGATCCGCGTAGCGGATAAGCGCCGCGCATTAAATTTTCAAGCTGACGGAAAGAATCACCACGACGATGCTCGTTCGTTGTATCATCGAGTGAGCGGCATTTTTCACCTCGCTCGCAAACCGTTCGCGCCCGTTTGATCGAGCAACCCGGGTAAACAAGGACGGCGCTCTCATAGGCGGTACGAAACAAATGCAATAATAAAACGCGCGCGCGCGAGCGACTCGATCGAAATCTTCTATGATTAATCGCTCCCGCGAGAGACGCCGTCGTTTCCGAAGAGCGTGTGACACCATTTCAGTTCTCGATCAAAAACAAGCTTTACACGGGTGGCCAAGGAGCTTAACGATCTCGCGAGGGTTACGGAAGAAGAAGCGCCGGGTTGGAAAGGCTTCGAGTGCCAACAGGGAGACTGGTACGCTCGATAATCGATGATGATCGGAGTCAATTCGCCTCGTAGGTACACCTGGTACAACCCTTTAACGGTGCCTTTCTGATAGTTTGGAACGCATATCGAACGGCTTCCTCATTCGCCGGGGAAACGAGGGCTTTTTCCGTTCGAGCATCGCCCACGTCGAGCACAGGGACGATTGCTTTCGATCTTGAGTTACTATTTGGCTATTATTCAACGTGAATACTTGACCGTCTTATTTTTTACCGCGATTGGCCGTAGTTATGCAAGAAAAATCCAACCCACACATTTCGAGAGAAATGAAGATGAAAATTCGACACATGATTTAGAAAGTATAAATAGTACCGTAATTTTTCGCAATCGTTCAAGAAGTCGAATATGATTCATTTTCTTTTCTTATGATATTCATTGCCAAGCTTAAAAAATGGGCAAAAAAGACACAACTAGTAAAAATTGCACAACTAGTGGGAAATAGAAACTTTTTAAATTAATTTTAGTCATCTATAAGGCCCGGATCTTTTTGTTTTATGTAGAGAGACCACTCATTAGTAACAAAATTTCAAAAATTATAATTTTGTGAGTTGGATCTCTCTTGCATAATTATGACCAACTAATATCAGGTAATATACTTAATGTGACATTTTAGGCCTTCACAGCTCTGTGGAGAAACACTTAATTTGGCTCCCTTGCTGGCGTCGTATCCTTCTCGAATTTGCTCGCGACGTTTCATCAACAAATTTCTGTTCATTCCTTTAGGATGAGGAACAACGACCCGAAACTACATTTTTATTATTATTATTTTCGAACCCGACGGCGATCGTCGTGGCAGTATCGTTACTGACGAACGGCCGTTGAGCGTTTTAACGTGGCACGCACGGATGTGTAAAGGAGGGAGGATGGTCCTCCATTTGCTACTTCCGAAATTCGAACTCTTTCGTCCGACTTCTGACCTCATTTTCCTCACCGACCCCCCGTCAGCCTTATCGCCATTTCCACGACGACATAGTCGTGCAGTTGTACGAATACATAATTAAGCGAACGAGGGAATAAGAAAAAGGCGTGTATCGATTGTGTACGCCAATCTCCAGACACGAAGATTCGCTGGAACACGCCAGACCGCGCGAGAACAGGCTGATGTACTTTCGAGAAGAGGGTGCCAACAAGCGGCGATTCCCGTCTCTCGACGGCGGTATCTGTGGCACGTATGTGACGATACGCAAATACTCTACGTGGTGAGTGTCTAGGACGGTCAGGTCGGTGGGTGATTGAACTGCGCGCGGCTGATTAGGAGCAATTTATCGAGCATAGCAAAGACTACGAATTGCATTGAAGCGGCCTTCTCTCTCTCTTTCTCTCGTCGAAGACGAGAAACGATAGTCACCGCGATGATCGAACTGTGCGCGCACGCACGGACGGTTCCCGTCGCGTTATTTCAGGCGGAGGCGACTACTTCCTGCTCGCACATAATAAGCTCTAATACGTGGTGGCCTACGTGGCATCTAAAACGTCCGCGAGCCGACTTTTGGGCACAGGCGAGAGGTCATCTGTCGTTTAGCCTCGTTAGCGGAAAATTACAGCGGACGAAACCCACTCTCAGACGAATGCTCAACGATGCCCTTTTAATTGTCGTTAACGCCGCGTCTTCACAAATGCTACCCTCCCGTGTACACTCGCGACGATCGTCCCATCTTCGTTCCTTTTCTTTCCCGAATGTGAAACCGGAGCGACGCGCTAAGTGGTACCTACCCCCCTTGTCAGAAAGTTCCGTCGCGAACGATTTTCTCTCGTCGTACGGACACGTCGACACGCGTATCCCGGCCGGAACGAGCTGAGATTCCGAAGGAGACTTTCGGGCTCGTCGATGACGTCGCGGCCTGCTCCCTGTCGACTTACCTGGACGACCTGGTTCTCCTCCTCTTCGGTCGAGCCTCCTCGACCTGCGTCGGCTCACTAAAAGCCTCGCGTAACACTCCGGAGGAGCTTCCTCGGCGAGGTTCGCTCGCTCTCGTCCGGCCCGCTGCCGTCCGTTTGTCCTGCCGTGCTCTGCTCCTGCGCTCCAACGCCCAGCCAGACTCAACCTTACCCTGCGCGGATCCGCTATATAGATGCCGCGCGGACTGGCGCGAGCCTTCGCGGCAGACAATCTATCGATATAAATTATGTACGTTCCCTCCGTTCCTTCACCGGCGCTCCTCCCTGTCGATCGGCTTTTCGCGCGACTTTCCGAAATAAGACGGCTCTCTCGGGACTCGATGACGCACGTCCTGCGAGGTTTGTTCCTGCACGCACAGCAGCTCGATAGCAGTTGTACGCTACGTACTACTGCTGCAGTCGTCTTGGAAAAAATTTCACGCGCGCGCGCGCGCGAAGCTGTCGTTGTTGTGTGCGAGGACACTATTTATATTTCAGTTCCTGCGTCTTCATTTACGCGAGGGCGTCGCATGCGCAAAGGCCTCGCACGGCATTGCGATTATCCGGCAGAGGCTCGCGCGTTCCTCCTCCTCCTCCGAGGACATTCACCACGGTCTATGCCGCCGGAGTTACGCTCGTTAAGACGAGCGTGCCAAATTTTTTCCCCGGTGATTAGGATGCGTTCCAACCGGCAGAGCCGCTCCGCGGGTTACAAATAAGGGAGGGAAAGCGCGACGTTTCCGCAATAAGTCACCCGATTTGGTATTTTCTTTCCCGACGAGCCGTTCGCGAGGCAAATTCGCTGGGTTAAGGTCTCCGTGAGGGATCTCTTTCAGAAGCTCGGCGTAAACGCACTTTCTGTCGTCTCAATTAGCGCCGAGCTCTCTCGCTCGCGCCGCTTATCTCCCGCGTGTAATATTTGTTGGCGCGAATGAAGTCAGAGACCCACCCTCGCGCGGCCACTTCAATTCCGACGTTATTACCTTAATGCGTCGCCATTCGTCCAGATGGGAGGAGCTCGTGCAGCATGAAGACTATTCGAAAAATTGCGCGTGGTTGCGCGCATCACTCAGACGAGCGATCTAGACTGCGATATCGTTATCGGTGCAACGATGCTTCTTCGCGCGGAGGAATTTGCCGAGCGACTCGCTGGCAATAATTGCGCAGCAGAACGCCGCGGAATAAATGATTCGCGTGTTCTGTCGCTGATGACAATATTTTCGTACTTAGCGGGAGAAATAGTTTGAGAAACGACTTAATCAAAATTTCAGTTTATGTCGTACTCGATCGGATCAATGTACGATTGAATCGAACAGCTAATTCCCTTGCATCGAAGAAGCGCTTCGTTTGGATATTGAAATGTGTGAAAATGTGTGAAATTGACAGAAAATGTAAAATATTATTTCCTCTAAATAATACTGTTTTATCCATCAAACAGCATTGCTCACTTTAGTGAAATAACAATATTTTCATTCCGATAAAATATTTGATATTATTTGATATTAAATTATGTTCATTGTGTATATCAAACAAACCCGAGTTAAACAAACAAATGCACTAAATCCGAAGAAACCTTTTCTCAGTGCATCTTCGAAGTTTTTCGAAAACAACATTCACCCAAGTATATAGCTCAGTAAGCTTAAAGCCGATGTGGAAGGGAGCCGCTTTCGACTATCAACCGCCGACGATGTTCAAAGTCTTTCGACATCCGCGAGACGACGTCGGAGCAGCTTCCCCGAGCCGCCCCGATCTCCCATTGCGCCATAATACCTCAGTTGCAGTGCGTTATCGCGCGACAGGTCGGTATTCCCGTATGGAGGCCAAATTTTTCTCCACACGAGGACAATCCGGCCATTCATTCGGTCTTCTAACCCTCGCCGTGGATGCCCTCGGCTACGATGCTATCGTCAGGCGGACTTGCCAGTGCAGTCGCGTCTTGGAGTCGCCACATCTCGTCGGCGGGACGTGGCGAGAGATCGATCCGGCGGCACGTTTCCTCTCCACCGAGACGCGTTTATCTGTTTCTCTCTCTCTCTCTCTCTCTCTTTCTCTTTCTATCTTTCTGTCGAGAGAACGAGAAAGTCGAGACTTTGCTTCGGTGTTCGCGTGATGACGTTAACACAGCTCGAAGGAAATCGGACAACCTTGAGGGCCTTACCTGGAAAAAAGAAATTTTTTGGTTTACTATCAAAGCCAAAATGGGTGCAGATGTCGGTGATAACGCGAACGTGATGGCGTAAAGTGAATTTGTGCAGTTGCGAAACGTAGGCCCGGGTAGTAAAATCGCACGAGCGTAGTAGTCGACGGTTGTTAAGCGAAATTGGAATGATGTTAATGTCGTGGTTAAGAAATCGATGCCGGGCGCACGACAGAAGTGAAAACGCTTGCACGGAGAAAACCGTTTATTCACACGATGTTACATTGTATATAGTGACCTAGTGACACATAGGTAATTCACACATTCGTAATTTTCCTATCGTGTATATATATATGTATACTACGTATATTACGTATATTACGTACAAAGCGAGCGATACGTGTTGACCTTGCTGAGCGACATTTCAGCTGCTAAGATTTTGATAAATAATCGTTCCAAGCACATTTTCTCATACTAAATATGAATTCTCAATGATAAACCACACGAATAATTGTTAAAAGCTCAAGAATACTGCTTAAGAAAAGTTGAGCGAAAATGATATTTTTCCAAACGATACGTATCGAGAAATTACCCCTTGATTTTCTACAGTAATACACGACTCGATGGAAATAGACGCGGTTATACATTCTGAAAAGTCTCATGGGGTCAATCTATTCGACGATTATAATAATCCCGTGCCTGTCGGTGATATACGTTCAAAGAACAAAAGTTCTTCTACTATACGGACAATTTAGCTCTTGTCAGTTGCATGACAGTCAGAATGAACGATCGACTGGAATTTCCATTGTCGGTTTGCACCATCTTGTCACGCAGGATCGATCGTTTGCAATTAGTAGTAGAACGAGTAGAAATGAATCTAAAGATATCAAAATGAAACGCGAAAGCTTATCTCGAACATTTCGCACATGAGAGATTTTGCAATAATTATAAACCCTCCTTTAAGTTGTTCCCAGTGATAATATCATAATTCTTATCATTTATTTAGGTATAATAAATTTGGTAGATTGGATCGAGATTAGTCACGTTTGATAAGACGTACCTCTAAGAAACGTAATCGCTTCACGTACAAAGTTCTGAAATCTGATAATTAACCTCGCGTGCCAGGTAAGCGAAATGGGGGAGTTTGATCATTAATATTCATAAGCGTCAAAGTGAATCTTTTGTAATGCTTCCTCCTCTTACGAAAGCTTATTGATTTTTGGCGAATGATTCACCTATGAAATCCACGTACGGTACAATCATATTAGCGTACCGTCGGTGGAGCGAAATCGGATCAATAGGGAAATTTCTAACTGTGCTTCGGTAGGAAAGCTCGGTTTACGGCGAGCTAAAATATTTAAAACGCATACCAACCGAGCAGAACAGGTGGCGCGATACCGACGGAGCTTTTACAGTGGAGCTTTCGTTTATCATGAGCTTTCGCGCATGATACCTGTGTCATTAGTTACCTGGAGTATCGATATGATACGACGTGTAAACGAATATGTATCGGTACACGTGTGATGACACTTTCTCAAAAGATACACGTCGTTACGTTACTTCAAAGCGAAAAATAGGCCGCGAATATTTGCAAACTCACTCGTTTCAATATGTAATTTTATTATAAATATTTTCTACAGCTATTATGCTAATATAGAATATGTTTATTCAGTGTAACTGCCGTGCACACAACGTTACGATATAAATAATAAATATATATTGTATGTTGCGGTAATAATGCAATTATTAAATATATGTCGCGGTAAACAACTATTCGCTTTTAATCAATTCCACATTTCGATTAAACGAATATTTCACAGTCCTCAGTATTTTTTTTTTTAATGTAGTTGCGCTGAAATACGCGCAGATTGGATACTGATTTTACCCCGAAAAAGATGAGAATAAAGGAAGAAAATAGTCTCTCGTTGTTCGCGTGTAAGAGTATCGAGCTCCTACGTTGACTTGTGTTCACTCGAAGAGCGCTAATCTACCCCGATGGAAGCCCTACAAGGTGCCCTCCCTCTTAAACCAGTGGACACTCTCTCGTATCGATGAGAATCGATAGTCTCGCCCGTCTTTTACCCCTACGAACGCAGTTCAGCTTGCTATTGATATTCATTACATGGTAAGCCAAAGGCAGACTGCAAAATTGATATCTCCGTACTTGGGTTTCCCTGAGTGGATCAACGAATCTGAATATCACATGATGTTTGAATGTTTTCGCCGTTCGAGATGGAAAATATTAGTCCATAGAGTAACATTAACGTTGCTCTGTATATTACTGCACGAAGACAAATATTCTGTTGTTACAACAAATTTGTCAGTTACTATGGTGACAACAAGAAAATTTGTTACACGAAAAAAATAACTTTGTTGTTGTAACAAAACGTCGTTGCGATAATAATAAGATTTAGTTGACATAATTAAATTATCTTGCTATCCATATATTTAGCAAAAGCAATTAATATTCTTAACAAATATTTTTGTTGCGCAAACAAATTTGGTTACTGTCACCATAGTAACTAAGAAATTTGTTGTGCCAGTAAAAAATTGTTCTCCGTGCGTATATTTTAGATATTTCAGATTGATATGATAATCATAAATTAAAGAGACGCGTCTACGGTATCATAATGCCTGTGTGGTGTAAAGGTTACCACCCTTACACCACACTCAACGAATAAAATCCCCCTTCGATTGCAAGACAAATTGATCGGATTTTCATAGTCATAAAAGCACGGGAGATCGTTTCCACAAATATCCGGAGCGGCGATTCCTGTGACCGTGATCTTTTTATACACTCGACACGTGACAATTTTATAATCGTCCTCGAAAAACTTGCACGTTAAACGTATTTTTTTCGTACGTGAGAAATTTTAGCGTGTAATTACTTCTCGTGCCCGATAAAAATCTCGAGCGTCGCTATCTAGTTAACGTAGTTTTATTAACTATGCGCTTATCTTCGCTGATAATGTCAACGCACGTATTACTGCGATATACGCCATGAAAGATCGAGTTTGCATATCGCGATCTGTATTTTCACCTCAAAGTTTACTATTGTTGTATTATATTGATCTATGGTAACTCAATACATGTTATCAATATAATTATATATGTTGGTTCAATATGTTTGATACATAACAGGCGCACTGTGTTTTTAAGAGTCCGTAGATACGAAAGTATCTCATATTTTCATCTGCCTCTGATGGAACATGTCGAGGTACACTCTTTTCGTCAAACCTTTTTTCCAACGTTCCATAATTATACTATAATTTTATGATATATAACATAGCGGTAGTTAATGGTAGAAATATCGCAGCAGAAACAGGAATCGGACGTGAATTGGACAGTCAGCGTATCGCGCAGTTAGCAAACAGGACACTATATTTACATTGCATCGTTGGGAATTAGTCAGTGGAT